CCTGGGGTGTCAGCGGCCGAGCTGCGGCTGCAAGGCGCTGGCCGCCATTTGTGGGCTCAGCTCTGACAGAGCAGGGCTTCTTCCTCTCCCTCAGGGCTTGTTGCTCCTCTGATCTGACGCTCTCTTTTTTCCCTCCTTCGCTGCGTGGACTCTTCGGGCCCTGTGCGGGCAGGGCGGCGGCGAGGATCCCTTGCCCTAGCTCCTGCTTGCTGGTGCTGTTTTTCGGTGAGGATGGCCAGCGGGCTGCCAGAGCCAGCAGAGCCAACAAAAGGATCCCCAAGTCAGGGCTGGCCAAAGAAGGGAACAAAGAGATGGAGGCGAATGTGAAAATTTGCCGTGACCTTCCTGTTTTAAAAGGTTAATGAGTTGTTGGTTTTCCACCAACATGACCTGCATCTTAGGGCCTTACTGAAGCACAAACCACCCAGATAGGGCTGCAAGATTGGACACAGGAATGAAAGAAACAGACCCCAAACCCTCTGAGATGGCGGGGCAAGGAACATGGTTTCCACGTAGGAAACCGTGGGCATCTCAGTGGCCCTAGGCAACTGTGGTTTGGCACCGAATCGAGTCCTTAATGTCCAACAAAGTGGGGTACCTTGCCATGCTTTGACAGCCAACCTTGCTTTAATTAAATGATCCTATAACTGAGCTTTGTTAGCTTCTCTGTGGTCATGTTCAGGAATGGGAAGTTTGATAATGGGCAATCAAAAGCCAAAGTACTGGTGTAGGGTTTTTTTAGTGCTGAATGTCTCTGCTTCACATAGGAAAGAGACTCTCCCGGAGTACGGCACTGTTTCAGTCAGCAGTGACTCCAGTTGCTTGTGACCTTCCTTCTCAAACGCAGCAGCATTTAGACCACTTTTGTTAGTCTTGTGTAATGATACTGTTGTTATTGCTGAACGTATTGCGTAGGGAGAGCAGCTCTTCACTGGTTGAGATGCTTTTGCAAATGCACTTGAGCCTTAATGAGGAGTAAGATGAATGTTCTTCACAGTGCTTGACCTTGCCATCTTATCTAACTTTAGACACCTGATTCAATTTACCACAGAGATTAATCTCCCTAAATTCCCACACATTAAGACATGACTAACTTCAGGAACCAGTTCAGAGGGAATTAAGATAACTGCTAGTAACTCTGGTGACTTAGGCCTGTGCATAATATGAAAGGGAACAAACCTGGGTCTTGTTGCTTCATTCTAAGGCTGTTGGCCTTCAAAGCTGACAGAGTGCTACACTGCACCAGGATGGCTTTTGAGAGATTTGAGTTTCAGCAGGGGCTGATTGGAAGGTGCCCTTACCTTAAATGAAGTTTCAACCTGTGTGTAAAAAGTTACTTACATTTCATTTTGCCTATGTCATCTTTGGATTTTTGCCAGCAGCACTAGAGTCCCTCTGCCTGTCAGTTTTCAGGGAGTGTTAGAAAAATAAAGTCAAAGTGTGGGTATATGGGCCATATGGAAACCGATTACCTGAGCTTAATGTAGGACAATACTGACTCGTGACTCCAGACTTCTTCAGCTGGCAGAATCACAGAATGGTTTGGGTTGGAAGGGACCTTTAAAGGTCATCTAGTCCAACCCCCTGCAATGAGTAGGGACATCTCAAGACCAGGTTTTGCCATGTGTTCAAGTCTATAAATCTTTATGCTCTGAAACACTTCTTTTTTTCTTGTTTCCATGTTCTTGAGTCACTTGGAACGTGCTCTTGCAATACTAGAGACACATAGATGAGTGACAAAGACCAGCAAAGGTAAGGAACTGTTTACATAGTAATAATTCAATAGACTGTAGCTAAGGAGGTATACGACAGAGATGTATAAAGTCATGAGTGGCACAGAAAAAGCACACACAGAATGACTGTCTGTTGTAATATAAGACCTAGAGAGCATTGAACACAACTATCAAGTAGAAGACTGAAAACAGAAGTACTTAGAAGAAAATAATGTGCTTAAATACCGCTAAGTTGTGAAACTCTCTGTCTTTGGATATTAAGGACACTAAAAGTTTAGATTAGTCCCAAAAGATGGGATTTTTTTCACGTGAATATGTCTATTAACAGTTATTAGATATGAAGATATCACCTCTGGTTCAGAAAGTCCCTGAACCACGCTGCCAGAAGCTATGTGCAATTGCCAAGGAAGATGCATTAGATGATTGCTTTACTCTGACGTTCTTCCTAAGGCATCTGTTGTCGACTGCCATTTTAGGCAAGATACTGAGCTAAAAGTGTCCTTGAAATGACTATATAGCTCTTGTCATTAATTTTCTTTTTCTCAAGAGCTTATGTTGTATTCCACATGATTTTGATTAAATGTACTGAATTATGTTTGAGGCAAATGGGAAGTCGTCTAGCTAATTTTTTATATCTTAGTTTTGGATGGCTTTATGTATTCAGCAAGGAACAACTTTGCATAAAACAGCTCAAAATCCAGGTCAAGTTTGTGATTTTTCCTGAATTTGCTGAGAGCTCTTTGGAAGTACGGTTATATCCATCTTCTCTGATCTAGCTTTGTTATTCCTTTGGGGGACAAAAATTTTAATATAATTTATGAACAGCTATGGTAATTCTCTCATGACAGCTATACCTACAGTAATGAATCACTTTTTTGCTTGATTAAGTAATCACTCCCTCAGCAGACACATTCCTGGGAAATGGAGTGTAGAAGACATGAAGAAGCGATCTACCAAGAAACTGGTTTTGGAACAATCAGCATGTATTAAGATTATAAACAAAAGGAAAATCTTAGAACTTAAACAGATTTTGCTTTTTTTTCTATCATAATTCCATGTCCATTTCAGATCATAACCAGGATTTTCCTGCCAGCTCTGTAGATTCTGCCTGGGGTTCTGAAGAGCATTGCTACTCATGCATTTTCAGCAGCAACTCTGGCGAGGGTCCCTTCTCCTCATCTCTGCTCCAGCTCCTCCCTTGTGGTAGCTGAATGAGCCATTCACTGGGTAGCAGAACAAAACACAGATTAGGCTGAGAGAGTCTTGTCTTCTTTTTTAAGCTGGGTTTTTTTTTTTCATTATTACCAGTGCTAACAATCTCAAAGGTGACATATGAGTTAGAAGGTCTGTGTGTGCTCAGCTGATTCCCTTAATGACAGCATTACGTCATCACCATGGATAAGTTTACCCAGCTTGCCTGATTACAACATGCGTAAATAATTCAGCTGATAAGTCATGTAAGAGATTAGAATGTCACTTTTTTTTCTTTGCTGCATTGAGCTTATGGACATAGGCCCTGGCAAAAGGCATTTTACTGTTCAAAAAAGTTGTTTTAGTTTGCGGCTGGCTGGAGCATGAATGTAGCTTCAGGTTGCAATTTCAGGTGTACTTAGATCAGCGTTCCCACAAAAAGCAGTCTGCTTCTCTCTCCCTGAATGCTTGTTCTTCCATCCAACAAACGCGGTATATGAACAAAAACGATTTCTGCAGTCCTATAGTGAACTGATGCAACTGAAAGTTTGTTTTTCAGCTAGATCAGTGATCCCCTATACGGGTTACTGGGAGGGGACGATATTCTTGTACTGGCACAGCAGAGGAGGAATTGTGAGGAAACGACCAATATCCCAGGGAAAAAGGAGGACCTTTTTTTTTTTTTTTTTTCAGTTGCAGGACCAGCTTAAATGCATGCTGGCTTCATATTAAGGCTCGTTGAAATCATGCAAGAAGGTATGTGTGAGCTCTAGTACTTTGTTAAAGGGGGCACTAACTGTGGTTAAATACCTACAGGGAGTAGATCTACTGAGTAAGAACACACACCTTTATATAATCATCCCGAAGAGTGTATTCTGATCTTAATAAATGGGCTCTTATAACTATCTTCTTAAAATTCAAAGTATTAATAATGCCATTTTATAAAGGAAAAGGTGCAGCCATGAGTTCATGCTATTTTGCAAAGTCAGATAAGAAAATTAGATCTTCCAGGTCAATATCCACCGTCTGTCTTATCATAACCACCCTTCCATGAAAAGTCTTCACTGAAACAGAACTCTTAGAGATCCTTATAATTAGAAGTTGTAAGTGTCATAAACAGATTGGCTCCAGTGCTCCAAATACACAGATAGCAAACATTTGCAGGGATTAGAACAATGCAGTACAGGGGGAAGTGATACACTTTATTCAAGGTTTGCAATTTTGCTATAAATACAATGGCCCAATTTCATCTTTCAGGCAAACCCTGAGATTAAATCAAAGATTAAATTGACTGTTAAATGGTCTTAATAAATTCAGGCATGATCAGCTGAATACTACTGGGACAGTTAAAG